GTTTCACAAAGTGTTTGCAGAATGTTCCAATTTTTTTATTATTATTAAAAGCACCTACCACCTACCACATTTATAAGTATATTTAACAGACAATATGAAATTTGCAAAAACGGGCGGAAGACTTCTCACTGCGGTGTGTCACCTTTAAAATACGTACGAGCACTGAAAGCAGCATTTTCTTCGAGTGGTGGGAAGACTAGTTCATGACACGTTATGACCAAGTTGTTCCCACAAGGAATGGTAGGAGTTAACTAGGACAGTGTGAGGGGAGCTCAGCGATAACTATGACACTGTGAGGGGAGATCAGCGATAACTATGACAGTGTGAGGGGAGATCAGCGATAACTATGACAGTGTGAGGGGAGCTCAGCGATAACTATGACAGTGTGAGAAGAATGGTACAAACAGCTTCTTAGCAATGTGTGTCGTCTTACTAATATGTGTTGGCTTGCAGCTGTTATAAACACCAATTATGTCTTATACAAGTTTTAGGATTGTCTGTTTTAATGATCAATTAGCAAGAACTCGTGGAAAATTAAGTCCTTTCTAAAATTTTCTCTTATACGTTCAAAGATTTATATAAAGATATATATATATGTGTGTGTGTGTGTGTGTGTGTGTGTGTGTGTGTGTGTGTGTGTGTGTGTGTTGTGTGTGTGTGTGTGTGTGTGTGGTGTGTGTGTGTGTGTGTGTCGAATATGTAAAACTGGTCAATTAGCAAGAACTCATTTAAAATTAAGTCCTTTCTAAAATTTTCTCTTATACGTTTATAGATATATTTTTTCATTAATGTTGATGTAAAAATTTATAATTTTGCACCAAAAGAACTTAGAAAACTTACCTAACCTTATTATAACAAGAACAATTTATTTTAACCTAACCCAACTAAATATATTTTAGATTTGTTACAATAATTTAATACTAAAACAAACAGAGTGAAATATATTTTTTTCGTTAGGTTTAGAATGATTTTGGCGAAATTATTGCATACACAAATTTTCACTTGTCCTATATGGCAAGATGAGCGTTGCTATTTAAGCCAAGATCGCAAGTTCTGCCTATTCGGCACGACATATATATATATATATATATATATATATATATATATATTATATATATATATATATATTATATATATAATATATATATATATATATATATATATATAAATATTGGCCAGAAACTTTCTACAAGATTGATGGGACTGAACACACACTCTCCAGGCTGAGGGACTGATTACCTCAAACTCCTCCTTTCCTTATTCCTTCCTGCTTTGTATAAGACTGATGAAGCCAATGTGTGGCGAAACGTTTCTTCAATAAAGATTCCCTTATGTTGCATAAGTGTCTCAGTTCTTCATTGTTCTACCAAATTATATTATTACTACTACTACTACAACTACCACTAGTATTACACCTCACTCTGAGCCCATATATACCCTTTGTGTCCATGTATTGTTTGTAACGTCTTGATAAAGCTCCTGTAGAGCGAAAAGTTCCCACAATAAAATGTCATATTAGTTGCACTTGTGTCCTTTTACTTTACAAGACTAGTTCCGGAGCTAAGGTGTATGCCCTACGAGGAGAGGTTAAGGAAAATCAACCTGACGACACTAGAGGACGGGAGAAATAGAGAGGACATGATAACTACATATCAAATACTGAGAGGAACTGACAAGGTAGATAAGGACAGGATGTTTCAGAGATGGGAGAGAGCAACAAGGGGTCACAGCTGGAAGTCGAAAACTTAGATGAGTCACAGGGATGTTAGGAAGCATTTCTTCAGTCACAGAATTGCCAGGAAATGGAACAATCTGAAGAGTGATGTAGTGGAGGCAAGATCCATACATAGCTTCAAGAAGAGGTTCGATAAAGCTCGTGGAGCAGGGAGTGGACCTAGTAGCGACCAGCTAAGAGGCGGGGGCCAAGAACTGTGAATCGACCCCTGCAACCACAGCTAGGTGAGTACACACACACACGCGTGCCTAGGACCAAATGGTAACTAACACACACACACACACCATCCCTGGGGTCCTCAGTTCCCACTAACAGTCGTAAAGGAAATACATGCCTGTTCAATTATGACGTCATCCTGAGCTCCCCATGACGCTGGTTCTCCAGTGACGTCACACTGCAAGGAGGGGGGATGCAGCGGGCCACACAAGACGGAGGCAGGATACTCAGGTGGTGCAGGGGGGGGAGGAAATAGTACGGAGAAGTGTACACATAGGGGGAGGTGTCGGGGCCACACTGGCATGGGAAGGGGCAGGGACAAGACTGAAAACGGAAGGGGGGGGGGAAGCTTCACAAGAGGGGAAGAAGCTACACAGGAGGGACGCTAAACTTAAGGGGGTAGGACGGGACGGGAAGGAAGCAACATTAGAGGGAAGGGAGACGACAAATGAGGGTAAAGGAGAGAGAAGACAGAAAAAAGAAGTGAGAGAAGAGAGAGAAATGAGAGAGGTTGAAGAGAGAGAAGAAAGGAAAAGAGAGAGAAGAGAGGAGAAGAGAGAGGAGAAAGAGAAGAGAGATGAAAAGAGAAGAGAGGGGAGAGAGAAGAAAGGAAAAGAGAGATAACAGAGGAGAAGAAAAGGGGAGAAAGAGAAGAGAGAAAGAGAGAGGAAGAAAAGAAAGAGAGGAGAGAGAGAGAAGAGAGGAGAGGAGAGAGAAGAGAGGAGAGAGAAGAGAGGAGAGAGAGAGAAAGAGAGAGAAAAGAGAGAGAGAGAGAGAGAGAGAGAGAGAGAAGAGAGAGAGAAGAGAGAGAGAGAGAGAGAGAGATGCGTATCTCGCATCTGCTTGACAGTAGCGGTTGCAAGATTCTGTACGAGACACAAGTACGCTCACACCTTGAGTATGCTCCACTTTCTTGGTTTGCCTGCCCCCCCCCCCTCTCATCTGCGAATGCTTGACAGAGTAGAGAACAGAGCAAGACGTCTCATCTCTCGCCTGGACCCATCCTGGATAGGCCTGCCATTTCAGCAGAGCCTTCAACACAGGAGGGATGTGGGTGGCCTTACTGTTATGTACAAGGCCAATATTGTCAAAGTACCACACCTGGATCCACTTCGAGGACAGCGAAAAACCCAAGCTTTTATGCCACAAGACGCAGAAAGCAGAAACTTCACTCTGGCTGTACCCTTCTCCAGAACATCACTCCATCTGAGATCATATATACCCAGGATGACTCGAGTATGGAACACATTCGTATAGCATAATGATGTCAACAAAGAAAAAGTCAGTTGATCAAATGAAAATGCTGGCCCACAAAAGGCTCCAACTTCCATCCTGTTCCCTACTTGTATGTCTCTAACAATAAAAAATGTTTTCAAATGAGCTGAATTAGGTAACAGCTCTTAGCTTGCCAATAAAGTTAGGAAACCTTAACCTGTAAATAGCTTTTTCCATAAAGCTAGGGATCCTTAACCTAACCTTGTCAAAACCCCGTTTAAAAGAGAGAGAGAGAGAGAGAGAGGGGAGAGAGAGAGAGAGAGAGTAGAGAGAGAGAGAGAGAGAGAGAGAGAGAGAGAGAGAGAAGAGGAAGAAAAAGAGGAAGGAGAGAGAGGAAGGAGAGAGAGGAAGGAGAGAGAGGAAAAAGGAAGAGAGAGAGGAAGGAGAGAGAGGAGAGAGAGGAAAGAGAGAAGAAAGAGAGAGGAAAGAGAGAGGAAAGAGAGAGAGGAAAGAGAGAAGAGAGAGAGGAAAGAGAGAAGAGAGAGAGGAAAGAGAGAAGAGAGAGAGGAAAGAGAAAAGAGAGAAAAAAGAGAGGAGAGAGAAGCCTACAGATCAACCTTTGTTCGTTTTTCGTTAAAGAGAGGCTGCTACTGCTAAGTACAAGGCTTGGAGAAGGTATAAGAGACATCCCACTACCTATAACAGGAACCTGTACAGGGCAGCCTGTAGGCACATGGGAGTTCAAAAGTGGGCCATTTCAAAATGGGAGGCTGACACAAAAAGAAAGCTGGCGTCAGGTAGAGTGGGCTCCAAAACCTGGAAAGACAAGGTTATCTGCCTGATGAACTTATTCCACCTCTAAATCGACAGGATGGGACCGTCTCTACTAGTAATCAGGAGAAAGCCGACCTGTTTGCCGAACACTTTGCTGCCAAGATCCAGCGAGGGACCCTCCTTGGCTAGCTGCAAGAACTGCGTCAAAGCTGTCAGTGGTGACAATAAGGCAGGTGTATCTTCTAAAATCACTGGACCAAGAAAAAGCTGTGAGCCCAGACAAGATAGGAGTAACTGGCCTCCTCGAACCCCTCTGGTACGGTGTTAGTGGTGATGGACAAATTTATTGTGTGAGCAATGGGGACAGGCAATTCAGAGGCACCATCTTTTAGGAACTTAGACGGGATGTTATCTGGGCCTGTGCTCTTAGTTGGGCTTAACCTGCTTAGTTCTTTTTGCTGATCTTTAAGTCACATAATGTGACCCACTCTCTTTAGTGTTTTGGTCACATGACCCACTTTAGTGTTTGGTCACATGACCAACTCAGTGGAGTGTTTGGTCACATGACCAACTCAGTGGAATGTTTGGTCATATGTGACCCACTCAGTGGAGTGTCTGGTCATGTGATGATCCAGTCAGTGGCGTGTCTGGTCATGTGACTTTCCCTGACTCACTCCTCTCTCTCCAATACACAAATGTAACTAAGACGTCCTGAAGAAGAGATACAAAACAACTTTTCGCCAGACACAAGTAAATGACCCAGTGAGATTAACCAGGTGCAATGCTAAAATCCACGAGCCTAGCCCATGGCCTGGCTCCGGGAGTTAAAAAAAACTCTCAGAACTCATCAAAGGTATACTGAGGAACATCCTACTCTCCAAGATAAAGACACTCAGGCATCATGACAACACTTCACGAGGGTCATCTGTATCCTGGCAAAAAAAAAATGTACCTTGAAGAAAGAACAACAACAAGCCGACACTCTTGATGACGCACATATAAGAAACAGAAACATGAAAAAAAATTGAGAAAGAAGTCAGCAAGAAACAATGTCACTTACTTGAGTCTTGAACGGTGCAACTCAACACGGCAGCTCTGTTGAAAGAGAAAGAAGATTCGATATATTTCGGTCGCTGTGTGATCCGCAAAAGGCATCCTCGTATTCCAGAAGCCCAACCTTTTCTACCTCATAATACATGCAAAAGAAATCTCGGAGGGTGGCCATCAAATTCCAATGCAGCAAAATAAAAAAGGTATGTTTACCTGCGTATGTATGAACTTCTGTTCGTTTGTGCCCTTTCATATGTGTAGAATATATGTGTATTTTTTATGTATGTGCATTTGAGTATGTACTTGTGTATTTTTTGTAAGTTTGCGTGTGGATATATATGCATATATATGAACATATCATAACAAAATATATATCCCCAAACGGGAATTAGAATGAAATTAGCTTAGAGGTACCCACACCACCGTATGTCCTCAGATCAAGGTAAAACATCTAGCTCTGCTGAGTGCTTGATTCTTGTAGGACTGCGTGGTCCTGAGGGTTAGAGCGTCATTTGATTTTCGCACACCATGAGGCTAGCCAAAACGACATGGGTTCGAATCCTTGACTAGTCGCAGAGAGGTTACTGATAATATATATATATATATATATATATATATATATATATATATATATATATATATATATATATATATATATATATATATATATATATATATGTGTGTGTCGTGCCGAATAGGCAGAACTTGCGATCTTGGCTTAAATAGCAACGCTCATCTTGCCATATAGGACAAGTGAAAATTTGTGTATGTAATAATTTCGCCAAAATCATTCTCAACCTAACGAAAAAAATATATTTCACTGTGTTTGTTTAATATTAAATTATTGTAAACAAATCTAAAATATACTTAGTTGGGTTAGGCTAAAATAAATTGTTCTTGTTATAATAAGGTTAGGTAAGTTTTCTAAGTTCCTTTTGGTGCAAAATTAAATTTTTTTACATCAACATTAATGAAAAAATATATCTTTAAACGTATAAGAGAAAATTTCAGAAAGGACTTAATTTTAAATGAGTTCTTGCTAATTGACCAGTTTTACATATTCGGCACGACATATATATATATATATATATATATATATATATATATATATATATATATATATATATATATATATATATATATTTCTTTCAACACACCGGCCGTATCCCACCGAGGCAGGGTGGTCCAAAAGGAAAAACGAAAGTTTCTCCTTTTACATTTAGTAATATATACAGGAGAAGGGGTTACTATCCCCTTGCTCCTGGCATTTTAGTCGCCTCTTACAACACGCATGGCTTACGGAGGAAGAATTCTGTTCCACTTCCCCATGGAGGATATATATATATATATATATATATATATATATATATATATATATATATATATATATATATATATATATATATATATATATATATATATATATGTCGTGCCGAATATGTAAAACTGGTCAATTAACAAGAACTCATTTAAAATTAAGTCCTTTATGAAATTTTCTCTTATACGTTTCAAGATATATTTTTTTCATTAATGTTAATGTAAAAATTTTTAATTTTGCACCAAAAGAATCTTAGAAAACTTACCTAACCTTATTATAACAAGAGTAATTTATTTTAGCCTAACCCAACTAAATATATTTTAAATACGTTTACAATAATTTAGTACTAAACAAACACAATCAAATATATTTTTTTCGTTAGGTTCAGAATGATTTTGGCGAAATTATTGCATACACAAATTTTCACTTGTCCTATATAGCAAGATGACCGTTGCTATTTAAGCCAAGATCGCAAGTTCTGCCTATTCGGCACGACATATATATATATATATATATATATATATATATATATATATATATATTATATATATATATATATATATATATATATATATATATATATATCGTGCCGAATATGTAAAACTGGCCAATTAGCAAGAACTCATTTAAAATTAAGTCCTTTCTGAAATTTTCTCTTATACGTTTAAAGATATATTTTTTCATTAATGTTAATATAAATTTTTTTTAATTTTGCACCAAAAGAATCTTAGAAAACTTACCTAACCTTATTATAACAAGAGCAATTTATTTTAGCCTAACCCAACTAAATATATTTTATATTTGTTTACAATAATTTAGTACTAAACAAACACAATCAAATATATTTTTTTCGTTAGGTTCAGAATGATTTTTGCTAAATTATTGCATACACAAATTTTCACTTGCCTTATTCGGCAAAATGAGCATTGCTATTTAAGCCAAAATCCCACGTTTTACCTATTCGCCACGACATTATATATACATATTTTTTTTATTAACACATCGGCCGATTTCCACCAAGGCAAAGTGGCCCGAAAAAGAAAAACTTTCATCATTATTCACTCCATCACTGTCTTGCCAGAGGCATGCTTACACTACAACTATAAAACTGCAACATTAACACCCCTCCTTCAGAGTGCAGATACTGTACTTCCCATCTCCAGGACTCAAGTCCGGCCTGCCGGTTTCCCTAAATCCCTTCATAAATGTTTCCTTGCTCACACTCCAACACGTCAACTCATAAAAACCACTTGTCTCCATTCACTCCTGTCAAACACGCTCATGCATGCTTGCTGGAAGCCCAAGCCCGTCGCACACAAAACCTCCTTTACCCCCTCCAACTTTTACTAGGCCGACCCCTACCCTGCCTTCCCTCCACTACAAATTTATACACTCTCCAAGTCGTATATACATTATATATATATATATATATATATATATATATATATATATATATATATATATATATATATATATATATATATATATATATCGTTAGTCATGGCATTATGCCGGGTGAGCGCCCCGGCATAATGTCATGACGAAAATCAAAGGCCTACATAGAGTGGGGTCTTTCTTCATTAGTGCATTATGCTGGGTAGCAGCAGTTAACATGACATCATAGCCTGCCACCACCCTCCACAGTGACTCCTCAGTGCTCACGTGGCTGCCGTGGTGAGAGGAAATGTTGGACTTTTGTCTCTCATCCGCCCCATCTTTTGTCCAGTGTTGCCTTCGGTTTTGGGGCTATACATGTTTGATTATGGGTAAAAGGAAGTTTTGAACACCTGAAACTATAGCTCAAATCATAGGGCTTCACAAAGCTGGGCAACAGTGGAGAATGTTGGTGTGTGTGAGCGTTCAGTGAGGAACAGGGTGCAATGTTTCAAGGCTGGTGGCGGTGTCGAGCTACCATCTGCCAAACCTCGACCTGGCCCCTTGAAGAAGACATCTGTTCGTACCTTGACTGTGTTAGAGAAGCAATTAGAGAGTACACCTAAGGTAACTGCTAGAGAATTGAAAGAAAAAACCTACATCTTTTGTCAGAGGTGTCAGTAAGAACTGTTAACAGACGTGTGTCAGAACTGGGCTACAGTAGTCACCGCCAAGTTAAGAAACCGATCCTCTCCAAGCCACAGAAAAAACGTAGGCTGGATTATGCAAAGAAATATCTTAACTGGAATCCTCAACAGTGGTCTGAAGTACTTTGAGTGATGAAGCAACTCTCACCGTCACCTGTAACCATGGGGGATATGTACCGGCCCAGAGGTAGTGACCCGCTAGATCCACGCTACACCTGTGGGACTGCCAAACACTCAGACTCACTCATGGTTTGGGAGTGTTTCAGTGCTCAGAGTGTTTGTGAACTCACTGTGCTTCCCAAAAACCAGTATATGAACCAGTATAATTACCTGGAGTTGTGTGACAATTTACCTGAGGCATTTGACAAGAGTGGGGCCACGGTTTTTATGCAGTATAGTGCACTGTGTCATACCGCCAAATCTGTAGTTCAATGTCTTAAGGACTGTGAAGTGAGGTTCTTTAATGACTGGCCAGGCAATTCCCCAGACCTAAACCCTATTGAGAACCTCTGGTCAATAGTGAAATAAAGTTTACTGGGCAAGGATATCAGTTCCATCCCGCAGATGGAGGCTGCTCTACATGAGGCATGGAATAATATACCTACCCAAACCCTCAAGAATTTGTGTGAGAGTCTTCCTACACGGCTGAGGGACGTGATTAAGCGACGCAGCCCCAAGTGTTAAAACCTTATTACATGTGCATATATATATATATATATATTATATATATATATATATATAAGCTTTCATGGTATGTGTTTGTGTTATGGTACGTATATATAATATATATATATATATATATATATATATATATATATATATATATATATATATATATATATATTATATATATATATGACAAACAAATAAATGTATGTATAAAGAAATATCGCAGTCAGCAGGTTCGAATCCTTGACTAGTAAGGAATTCCTCTTGGAGGAATACTAGGGATGGGACGATACCAAATTTTCTGCCGATACCGATACCATTAAAATCAGCCTATACCGATACAGATACTTTGGCACACTCCTAAAGGAAAAATTAGCAAAATATAGTCAAGTCACTTTAACACGCCATAGACGAAGACGATTATGTCACACTGGAAAACAAGGAAACACAAAATAATCTCGAGAATATTGCAATTGTAATCGACAGTAAAATATGAAGTCACAATATTTCTAATAAAAACACCTGAAAGCTACAGGATGCTCTAGATAGGTAGATGTTGTGCTCGGAAAAGTTAGGTTAGGTAAGATTCGTCAGGAAACAGGACGAGTTTCTTGACGCGGGTCTTAGTCATATGACCAGCCACTGTAGCTTCTGTCATCTGACCGAGGCCATCCACTAGCTTCCCAATTTAAAACAATATAATAATCAATTAGTAATTGCGGCAGATGCAGTTCAAACGTGAACAAGCATAAGGTTCTAATCCTTGGAAAACAACTATAAAACTTAAAGCTAAATGAAAGGCCTAGTCAAAGTTAACGTGAAGAAGATTGAGGAGTTATGGTTAGCAGAAATTTTAAGCCAAGATAATAGTGCATATGTGTTCGCAATAAAGTTAATAGGAGTCTTGGCTTCATGTCAAGAAGTATGAATAATAGAGATCATAGTGCTATACTTCAACTATGTATATCCTTATTAAG